GCAACTCCCAGTCCAGAGCAGTTTGAGCCAAGCAGACACCCAGCACCACTGCTGGGAGCTAGTTTTGTGGTGTTTTTCGAGGAAATACTCCATAGGCCAAGATGTGTTTGAAAGGACACCTTGTTGTGTTGTGTGCTACGGAGGTGAGAGCTAATGATCTGGAATGTTCTTTTTTGCCGTTGTGCAAACAAATTAGAAGTGCCTTCAGTTGCAGTAGTGGAGGCCCAGAAGGGACCCAGCTTAACACCTTGCACTGAGGCACCCAGTACTAGCAAATGCCTTCTCAAAGCTGTTTCCTTCCTGCTTCCCTCAAAGGTGCTTTTTAAAGTTGTCTTTTTGCAAGGCTTAATTCTGCAAATGCTCAGTGTTGCCAAATCTAACATCTTTCATGATGCTGTATAAAGTACTGTCTGGGTCCTATTTTTCTTGAGTGTGTTTTCCATATGAGTAAGACAGGATATTATGGATAAATAGAGGAGTTCTGTTTTGCCTTCACTTTACTACAACTACTGATGAGAGAAGTCAAGTGCAAAACCCCCTTCCTTTGCACTAGCTCAATAAACCTAAAAATAGCATCATAGTCTTGTGCATAGCATGAGAGAAAATAGCAAGTCTAAGATTTCTCTCTTTAAATACAGAATCTGGTATGTGGTCAGAAATTTCAGCTGTTTTCAACGTGCCTTGGGAGGCATTAGAACACCAGTATATTTTATGACACCAAAGTTCAGCCTCTTGTTTTTTTACCAAGCAAAGTAGTTGTATTGGAACAGTGGCTCCAACGTTCTCCCTTCAGATAAACAGGTGCTTTCCGTATGCCAGTAATCTTAGACCATTCTACTCTAGATCTGTCAACTGATATTTTCAAAATCTCTGCTCTTTGCTCACAACATTTTTCCATAGATGTGTGTGAGCAAACATTTTTATATCTGTTTATCTGCTCTGGTTTAAGTGCTCATTAGACACAGTCAGAACTTCTGGGGTTTTAGTAACACTGGCACAGAAAGGCAGCAGAAGTTGTGCAGAGTATCTTTCAACACCTGCTGCCAAGTGAGAGCACTCATTTTTAAATGTAAACAAGGCTGACTGAAAATGCAGGACACACATTAAAAAACAATGTCTACTTTAGTTCAATCCATGTAAATAAAAGACAAATCAGAGAAACGTTTTCAGACAATTAACAGACTTTACACCAAAAGTGTATTTTGTTGCACAGTAAGTCTAGGATTGGCCATGTGCATTGTACTGTTTCAAAGCCTGGAGTAGCCAAGAGGTAGGAGGATGCTATTTTTTACTGCCTGTGTTTTTCCTTTGATATTCCGGAGAAGCTTTTGGAATTACAATACCATGTCAAAAGATTTGAATACTTCTGTGAGGTTTTTGCCTTGTTACTTTAAACACTTTAAAAGCAGAGGATTAAAAATACTGCTAAGCAGGTATCCAAGTGCAATATTGCAAACTTACACATTTTTGGTATTATTTTGGTGGTTCAAAACCAAAGCAAAACATCACAGCTCAAAAAAACCCACACTTTTTTTTTGCTTAGGATTTTAATGTCCTAGGAGAAGTGTTACTTTCCTGGTTTGGATCAGTCATTGTAATGTTTTCCTTTTATCTACTGAACATTTTAGCTGGCTGATAATGTGGCAGAACCCTCAGAACAAAAAAGCAGAGCATTTATGCTCTGCTTATGTTTTTACTGATTTTCATCAACGCTTTGAGAATATTACTGTGACTCCTTAGTTCCATCCTTGATACCTTTGTTTGCTGCCAACCCAGAGGAGTCTGCAAATCTATTCTTACCAAGCAAGAGTCATGGAGCTGGTTTTTCCACAGAACTTGCACAGGAAAAATGCTGAAGTTGATGATTCAGTTGTCTTCCGTCAAGTCACTCTAATTCCTGTTTCTAGAAAATGGGTGGGTTTTGGCAGCTGGAATAAGTTCAGACAACTTCCATACCTTGAGCAAGCAGGCATTGGCTATATTTTGAGATTTGTGAACAATTACTGAACTCCAGCTTTAGACACAGTCCAGTGGGTATTATCAAAAGATTAAGTGACAGCTGAATCTGACTACAGCAACATCTGGAAAGCGATATATTTGCACTGCCCTTCTTTCTAATCATGGAATTCCCCTGCCCCACCCCTTGAATAAAGTATTGACACTGGATTTCTTTTTCTAAAGCAGGTGACTCCTTTAGCCTTGTAGCAGCAATTTTCTTCACAAATATGGCTTGTTCTTAGGAATTAATGACAAAGGAGACATTGTGCAGCTTCTGTGCCCCTGACAGTATCCTCACTTGGGCTGTAAGTGATCTTTGAGCACCTTAGGAAGGTCTATCTAGGTAATACAGAGCTGCCTTTACTTGTGCTACAGTAAACTTTATAGTTTTTATAAGCTGGAACATTAAAAAATAAATGTTTTTTCAAGCAGCCCTTAAATATTTTTGTCTACTTACTGGAAGACTGCTACCTTCCTTGCTGAAGGAGAAATGATTATGCAGCAATGCAAATACAATGCAGAAATACTTGTTTTAGTAGCTTGTGAAAGCATCAGACTTAAATAGGTTGAAGGTGTACCAAATCACCTTCTGCTGTAGTTCAGAAAAGTTATGTATATATTTTTAAACAGAATCATTCAGGGAATTCAACTCTCTAACAGGGATTGAGGTGAGTAAGTAGCATTTATCTTGCTGTTGCTCACAGTTCCCGTTTTGGAAAAAGCCCTTATGTGTGATTTTATTCTTCCTCTTTCCCAGAGGCAGAACACACGGCTCTTAATTATGAACAGCAGTTTCTCCATTGTGCTTTTTGTTAAAGTTTTCCATCTATTCACCTACATCAGTTTCCAAGGAACTCAGCAAGTACAGTTGCATTTCAATTTGTCCTCTCACCTCAGTGTTTCTTCCTGGTGCAAAGCAGTCAAGTGTTGTTCTGCTAGATGCTGTATATATGGTTCCCTGTAACCATATGAAGTAGCCATTGTTAGGTAGCAGGGCAGTAAAGCAGAGAACAGGCTTATAAAACAGGAATTCAGTCCTTAGACATGTGACACAGCTTATTCCTGTGGAAAGGTTTAACTCAAGCTCAGTAACAAAGTTAGGAAGTTTGAGAGGCAGTTTATTTTTTCTTTCTCCAAAAGTGCAGCAGTGAACAGGGTCCTCTGGAAGGGCACTTTCTAAACAGATGTTCAAAACAGCAGAAATATGCTCACAACATGCCACAGCAAATGCTCACATACAGAGAGAGTAATACAAAGAAAATTAATTTTAATCAAGTCACAACAAATGAGAGCTGTTTCATTATGTTGAAATATTGTATTCAGCTTGTTGAATCAGTCTCAAATTTAACTTTATTGAAAAGGTATTATAACCTGCTTTGGCTGTGTGCTTCCATGTATGTGTCCCTGTTACAGCTTTATTCCTCAAAATGAAGTCCAGTTTACTGGGCTGATGCTGGGTAAGCATGTACTAGCTGTATTCACTTATGCTGAAGTGATGATAATGTTTTTTGGTTTAGGGTAAAATAATGAAGTTATTAACTGCATTTCTCCCTGTATAGTATCTACCTTACCAGATCAGATCACTACAAGTTCACAGCTCTACTTTTGCTAATAATGATTTTTAAAAAAGTAAAAAAAAAATTATCACATTTTATCTAAACCCAACTCTGTACCAGTAAGGCCCTTTATTTAAAACTGTACATTTAACATGAATGCCTTTGGTAACGAGGTACAGGTACAGCCATAGTCAAATAACACATGAAATGGAATATCCCAAAAGACCATTTAGTTTTAAAATAACTTAGTTGGGAATTAGATCTGAGTAAGAGTCGAAGTTCCTTCATAGTGGTTTTTTAATCAAAGATAAGAATTAACACTGCTCATTTGAGGCTGTTATGCTTTATGGCAACAGTTATTGAGCCTCATTATAAAATACTTTACAGGTATGTGCAGATAGCAAGAGTATTAATTTGGGTAAAACATCTGGTTACTCATACTGAATAATCTGCATCTGCATCAATTCTGTCAATTTTCATATTACTTATTAGGCAAAAAGTAAATTTCAAAAGAAAGTTTCCTTCTTATGGCTTAAGATTACTTTAAGAAAAGACTGTATAAGACTTACACATCTGTACCCATAACAAAGTTGTTTTCTATTAAGGAGCAACAGAATGCACATTACTTGCACTAAAACTTAATTCAAGCAGAAACTTGACATATGACCCAGATTTGCTAGAACTGTTGAGGGTTTAATGTGCAGCAGTCAATATATTTCACACTAGCCTCCATACCACTAGCAAAACAAAGTTTAAACAAAGAACAAGTCTAAGTTGCTAGAATTCTTTGAGCAAAACACTACATACATGAGCTTTAGGTTTAGCTGAGTGTGCAAGAGAACACTTGAAAACAACTCGGGTTTTTTCTAAAGACAAAACAGTTTATGAAGGATACCGATGGGCCATGCTAAGGCTTAAGAAACAAAAAAACAGGATAAAGCTATAGTTGTAGTTAAGGAAAAAAAAAAAAAAAGCAGTCCTGAGTATTTGAAAGCATGGAAGTAGTTTGCATATCCAAAAACCTCTGTGTTCATACAGATGCTCCAGTTGAAAAGTTACCTTTCAAGCAATTTTTTCCCCCTCAAAATATTTGGTCACTTTTAGAGATTTGAAATAAAAGGTCTATAATATCTAACCTGGAGACCACCACAGAAGTTTGCAACTATAAGCTACATGAAGGACAACTTCTGTGCCTCAGATTTAAAAGCCAAGAAAGTTCAGCATGGTTTGTTGTAGCATTGCTTGTATCCAGTTGGTGGATCTGCACACTGGGGTATGCACCTTCACAGTTTTCAAAGTCATACTCTGTTGCTTACTTAATGATTACTTACTACAAGGTATTATGTGACAGAAGTTGAAATAATCATGCTCTACCGGGGTAAGAGATGTGAAATAACTAACTGAAAACTAAATAATTTTGCCACACTTTGTTTGATAAGGGAAAGATTATCTTGCTGATAACACAGTTTATTTGCCCACAAGCAACAGGAACTTGTCTTGCAGAAGATCCACAATTCAGTGTTTCCAGACAGTGTTTTGCCAATGAATCTTTACAGAAGTTGTACAGCAATGGAAATTTGGGTGTTTTTCAAGATTTAGAAAGATACTCAAGTTTGGGTACATGTGATGGCTGCATTTCAAATAAGCCTAATCAGAAGGTTGAAAAGACAGCATACTTTCAGAAGGAAACAAAGTGATTTCTGACATGTAGACCTTTGGTGTGAAGGCCACTTATTGCAGGTTCCAAGTAGTCATGTCTCAACGAAAAAGCAACACTGTGAAGCACTTAAACTGCCTAAAATAGCTCTCTTAGCCTAATGTCTAGTGAGCAATGCTTCTGTGATTTACTTTTAGCTAGTTTGCTTTCAAAATAAATTACCTTCAAGAATCTAATCAACATAAGATGTTAGACAATTTAAGACATTTGGAAGTTAAAATCAGATCAACTCTACTGTGGTGCCCTGGTTGTTGGATTTTGTTTATTTTAGTATTACTTCTGTTTCTGTATTAAAAACAGACTTAAGAGTTAGCTCAAAGCACAGGCACACTTACTTGAATACTTACTAGCCTCAACACTCTCTTGTTTAAACTAACTAGGAAGCCTATCTTAAACAATAAGAGTTTTTTCAGTACCCCCATTCCAGCATTTCAAACTAGAAGAAGCCTGACATTGCATTCTTGTTTGAAAGCTACCAAAGCTGTCCTACAAAATTCATTGGTCTCATTTGAAGTTGTCTCATTGAAAGAGACTACTTAGCAAACAGATTTTAATTCCGCACAAGACACTTGCTAGTCAGATCCTACAGTTTTGACTAATGCCTTCCTACTCTATTTTGGGCTAGTTTGCTATTGTCATTAACAGCTTTGAGCTCGATACAGGAAACCTATAATAAAGTCTGAATATGGGTGAGCATTACTGTGCAATAGCACCTGCCTATCTAACCTGACTCAAATATGCACTTATTGATTTTTTAGAACAAAATAAACTGTTCAGATTCATAGGCATAGGTTTACCTCTGTGCCTGTGATATGAAAAGATACTTGAAAGACAAAGGTGATAATCAACTATTTGAGCAAGACAGATTAGCTGTGTCTAACGATTTACAGTTAGAGTTCAGCTGTAAAATATACATATTGCACAAGGCAACCAGCTAAAGACAAGGGGTTTTCTTCCAAACAAGGTTTGAAAAGCCCATTAAAAGTCTTCCAGCTGTGATCAGCAAGAGTTAACAGAGACAGACCTGCTGCAGCCACTGGAGAAACTGGTCAGTAGGAGCTGATTGCAAGAGGCTCTTGATGGTCTTATAAGGACTGTGTAGAAAACCTCCGAGCACGTATGCCGTGATTGCTGAACATGAGCCGTGGGTCAAACCTGTACCTGTAGGAAGGAACAGTCAAGCGTGAGCTAGTTGTCCTGCAGTGACCAGCACTTCTAGAAAAAGCTTATTGCTAGAATAGCTCTGGTACAAGGCTACGAGTAGTTGCTTTCTCAACTGTATGCAGTAGCAACAATTTCTGTCTATAAGGAGTCTTAAGCAACCAAGGAGTGGATGGTCTCCAAAGAAATAAATACTAGATACAATGTACCAACAGCCTACAAGCATGTATAACAAACATTGAGGAGCTGCATTCTAACAAAGCTTTGCTGCCCCAAATTACAAACTTTTGTAGCACAACTGTAAGGACATTTTAAGTAGTGCTTAAAAAAGCTTTGGTGTAAATGATAACTGAGTTTTGAGGTAAGAAGTCCTATTTACTTACAACAACTGACTAATATATACAGCTTAAGTCCCGCAGGAAATGTTCTTGTTAAGAGCATCTCCAGGACCAATCAAAGCAGGTATTTGGAAAATGCCTGCCTGTAGAAACCAGCAGAGCTCTTCCTGGTTTGCAGGCAAACCCAAGGTCACTGTCTCTGACTACTCAGCACAGCTGTACTCTTCAGCTGTTCTAAGTCAACAATGGCTGACAACATTAAAGTAGTAGTATTCATACCATCAAAGTTATATTTGGTGAGCTAAATTAAAATAGAGATTAAGCATTAAAAAAATAGAAGCATCAAGAAAACATCTCTATTAAACAGTAGTACTTACATCAATAATATATTCCATCACAAATACCCTCTATAAAAGCTTAATTTTAAAAATATACAGTTATATTTAAAAGTATAATAATAATTAAGTGGAGCAGTGTTTACCCGGGATCGAAGACACCTGGTGTTCGGCAAGTTGCTCCTGAACAGGACTGCAGCATCATTAATCGATAGTTCATCTTTTCTAGAATTTCTTGATCAATTGTTTTAGCAATGTTATTGATCTGGTGTGGATCTGCAGTCAAGTTGTACACTTCCACAAACACCTGTTGAAGAAAGTTCTTGCACTGTATTAAGTCCTGAATGCTAACTAACATTTAGTCATATTATTTGGGAAAAATGCTTTATGGCAGCACACAGTCTCAAATGTTATTTTGAGCTCCACTGCAGCAGCCCCACACATAAGGTATGTTTAGCCATGTTTAGTGGTCAAAGACAGTGTGCAAGCAAAGCAGAAGTGCTGAAGTAGCACAGTATTGTTGGAAAAGTTTTCAGTTTCACATGAAGGACTCACCTGCTTCACTGCAGATTCTTTTCCAACATATAAATGGAACCTGTCTTATGACTAAGACCACAGTAAGAAACCAAGGCTAAGCTGGCTGTCTTTTCACTAATGGATCTCAAAATACACAATTTTATGACCATCACATCACCATTCCAGATTCATCAGATACTCAGAGCTGTCAGACCCAAACAGGTGTCTTGACTTCATGTACAAAATACGCTGAACATAAGTATGCTATAGCCACAAAAAAGAAAAGGTTATTCTGTGTGTGTGTGCTTTGAGGTTTGTCTGGAGAATTTTAGGGCAGATTTGTTTTTGGGACATTAAATCTCTAGACCATTCTGTGGGACAAATACTGGTCAGACATATGTCAAGAATTCAGCTGCTGTTTTGTCTGTGCTAGAGTAGGAGGCCTGACTGCAGATGACATTGATAAAAATTGGCCGAGTTGTGTCTAACATAGATAAAGACATATCTGGACAGACTTTGGCTGCAGGCTTTCTTACAAGGTTCACTGCAAGGTCATAAAAGTCAAATTGCTGCACCTTCCCAATACTGTTGGTCTTACTTTAGCTAACCCAGGTAAGCAGTGACCCAAAAATGCCACAGCCACACCTCCTCAGTAGAAAAAAACCCAAAGTGACATGAAGTGTATTATTGAATCAACTTTGGAGTCTACTTTTACCAAGAAATCTGCAAAATTTATTTAACTTGATCATGAGTTGTCAGAAAGCAGAAAAACAAAGGGCGGGGTCTGCTAATTGGCATTTTGGTCTCCTGTACGGTTTTTCACACTATCTAACTGCAAAAGCATCTTGTGGGATTTACTCCCCTGGTTTAAGTTGCTCATTGTAGACCACCATAAAATGTGTTTGTGGTGCACGATTACTGGGGATACCTGCTGTTCATGCCGTTATTGCACATCTGCTGACAATACAGCAGTTTATTAGATCTGTGACCCAGCTGCCTCAAACCCAACCTGCTGTAGAAATAGAGCAGCTGTGTGTAAATGGGCACAAGTAATGATCAGCTGTGTAACACACCGCCTTTTGTGTGTACAGTGTGTGCTCCTCTAGTGAGATCTGTACAGTTTCTGAAGGGGGGACACTAGGTCCTTTATACCCAAACAACTTATGATAAGCACAGTTGTAACTTAAGTACCCAAACAAATGAGTAATAGAAGAGAAATTATTAGCCTGGAATTTCAATTCTTCACAGGTAAAAAAGTTGCAGCTGAACACAAACACACCAGAGGTACAGTGCAGCAGAAAATATTTGTAGAGAAGAGACTGCCATATGGAACTAAGCTAAGAGAGAGAACTGAACCCGGTCCAGCAAAGCTCCCTTAGAGGCTGTTAGGTAATACCAGAAGGTGATAATCAGAGTTTAGGCCTCACTTCCTTCCCACCCCCTTTTCTTTTTTTTTTTTCTTCTTTTTTCCCAGAACCTCACTACAGTTTTGGTCAAACATTCTCACCAGGAGATAACTTTGCCCTGCAAGCAATACTAGTCTGCTTTTCAGGGTACTTCACAGAAACCTTGAGAGCTGATAAGAGTGCAGACAGACACTCACACAGCTGTGAACAGCTGACATCTGCTAGTCAGACAGACTTACCTCCCGGTCATCAAACTCACAGTACTGCAGATCCCAGGAAGTTGACAGTGTCCTTACACAAGCATATGTGTTGTTATAGGAATCTTCACAGACGCAGTCAGGGAAGCAGTGCTGTGAAGTGAGCAGTGAACAACAACTTCAGAGCAGGAGAAGAAGATGAACTAGCAACCCTTTTCCTAGAGACTATACTATACTCATGCCAACAGCAGTTAACTGACAAACACCCAGATCTTAATTTAATACACAAGTCTCCACTGGGGATTTTAAGCAAAAACTCAGCTCTTCTGAATTTGAGAAAGTGTTATTAAAGCCACTATGATTAAGTGCATTATGTACAGGAAGTTAATGTACATACACTGAACAGAACAGCACAACACACTACTAAAGACAACACCAAAGAGATGCTTTATTTAAGTAAAGCAAAGCAAACCTGCTTTGATTCAAAGAGTAGCTAGTGACTTAATAGTCACAGACAAGAATTGTGCAACAAGGTCACTGCAAGTTTAGAAAGAACATTTTGTCACTGCCACACACTTGGCTAAGCCCACACCTTCCCGCATCTTTCTCCAGCCCTGGGGCCCAATAGATTCCTGTTGAAAGGGTTGCTGTGATCTCCATGGTCATATGGAGATGTTAGTTCCACATGGCTGGATATCTCCCTCCAATTCTCAAATGCTCCACAGGACCTACAGAGCTCCAACTTACCAAGACACCTGGATTACGTACAGAACCAGGTTAGCCCATACAGCAAACAGGTTTAATTCAGCAGCTATTTCCTAACATTAACAGATCTTATCTTGCTTACTGTGACTCCGGGTCCTAAGCCAGGACAGGTAGGGTCACTGCCATTGTATCCTTCTCCTTGGTACTCCACCAGGAAGTCTGATCTCCACGTGACATTTTTGTCTCCTCTCTACAACAAGAGGTTAACACAACTTAGTATCTGCTGCACTGTGAAACAGAATAAATTCTCCATGCTTGGTATAATACTAACACTTCCCACTGCTTACAAGGCAAAGTCAGTCTTAAATAATTGACTTTAAGGTTAGAATGTCTTGTGTAACTGGAAGACAAGAATTCAATTCCAAAAATATTAGTACACCTTCTTGTGAGGGTTTAAAAATACTATCTTCAATTTATAAAGGATCACGCAGTAATACCAAGTAGGAGCCACATGGCCAGATATTACAATCCTGCAGACAATATCCCTGTAGACAAGGCTGTTTCTCTTTGATTTATATCACACTACCACAACAGATGCAAAAAGATACCCCTGCCATAAGAAAAGATAAACACCTTTAAGAAACAATTAAGTCTTAAGCTGGTCAATTTGTAGCTGCATTTTAAAAGACAAAGGAGATGAAACTGTAAATTTAATATACAGCACCATCTCAGCCATATGCAGCAAAACACTGAATTTCAGTTTTGATTCCATCAGAGTTTAAACTAGGTGCTTTTTACCTGCTTCTGTCTAAAGAACAGCTTAAGGTTTTGGATACAAGGTTTTAAAGCAAAGCACAGTTTTAAATCTGGATGATCTTTCCAAGCTTACTTTCCAAGTAAGCTGCCTTCAATTTATAGACTAAATTTAATTAAAACTAAACAGATCAACTGCAAGCAGCTTTATTTAAATAGGCTTCTGCTCACCTATTGGAAAGGTCAGGTTTACTTTATAAAACCACATGCATTTTTCCAGAGTTTGGCAGGAAACACTAGTTCTACTGAAAATGGAGTCAAACTAAAGATTTAATAAGAACAGTCTGCTCTTCTCCTGTGTCTATGCAGAGAAATGCTAAGAAAAGGGGAAAGAGGATACAAGGTGGAAACAACTCACAGGCTTCAAAATAGAAATTACTACAAATGGCAGGATTAGCCAAAGGATGAAACAACTTTCTATTATAAAATTATCACAAAGTTGTAGTGCTTATGAAAATATATCTGCATTTAAACAACATACCCACTTTTTCCACTAATCTATGAACATCCCATGTGAAAATTATATCAAGGGAAGAATCTGGGTTATGAGTTAAGCTAGTCTATCAAAGGAAGTAGTATTCACTTTGAAGAATTACCCCTGCAAGAATTATTGGTTACTATTCCTGTTCATCTACTTACCAACAGTGGCAACAGTGACATCCCATCCATCTGGGTTTTATTCAAGTCATACCCCGCAATATCCAGAATAGTGGGACCCAAATCAATATTTGCAACAAGCATCTGCAGAGTGAGAAAAATGTAACTTCAGAAGATCAGTATCTAACAGATGTAATAATAGGACTTTGGTATTACAAGTATTTGTACTTCTAGGTACATCTAAACACTACTTAATTTCATCTTTATAGGCTAATGGACCCTGTGACATTCAAAAAACAATGGCAGGTACTTTGGAAAGTGAGTTCAAAATTCATTTACTCTGTAGTTTGCAAGTGCTTAATTTCACTGATTCAAGGAAGAATGGACAGCTTTTTATAATGAGGTCTCTGCACTTTCTACCACTGTGTATTTAATTTCATTGAGATATATATATATAGGTAGATAGACAGATAGATATGCAGGAGGATAAACTATTACCTCAAGTTGATAACTGTGAAACAATATTAAAAATAAATCTATATTCTTGATTTCACTTCTTTCTTACCTTGTTTGTCTGATTTGGTTTTACCCCTGGTCCTCGAACTAGCAGTGGAACTTTGATATCAAACTCATAAAGCTGCCGTTTGTCTATTGGCAAAGAAAACTGGCCTATACAATAGAAAAATGGAAAAAGTTAAATGACTTATTGTTTCACATTTTACAAGTCTTGTGTTACACAGAATCACAGAATGGTTTGAGTCGGAAGGGACCTCAAAGATCACCTAGTTCCAAACTCCCTGCTGCAGGCACATAATTGCCAGCAGCCAATTTTTAAAGAAGTCAGAAATGGTTCTTAACCTGAACTCCATTAACAAATTGGAGGACAGGAACAGACAACTCCAAAGTATAAGCCATATCTTAAAAAGTTTAAGAGCTTACATACTGCATTTTTAGTTGTACAACATGATACAGATAGGTCTTCAACAGATTTTTATCTCTTATGCCAACTCTTCCTACAGAACATAAAGACCCTTCCTCCATTTCTGTTCTAATTTTATGTATACCAGGATACACTGGTAGAGATTAATGCTGAAAACCACAACCAAACAAAACCCAACCAAACTATAAAATCACCGAACACCCGACACTGCAACTCCAGATTGTTTTGCAACTCAAATCAGTACTTCTTCTGTCTACAGTTTTCCAACAGCTGCTTTTCCATTTTCTGGAGTGGTCATGTGGGTGAAATGTTACGTGATTCCTGGATCTTCTACAAATATTCAGCAAGCAGTAAAAATTTTACCAGTGTGGAAGCCATTGTCTGATGTGTAAAAGATATATGTGTTGTCTAATTCTCCGTTCAGTTCCAGTTTCTTCACTAGTTTCTCTATCAGATCATCTACTGACAGCAGAGTTTGCCACCTATACAGAAAAAGCACTTCATATTAGAGTATGAAAAATTTAGAATAACTCTGACTGCAGGTAGGCCATTCATATCCTGCTTCCAGTTAACAGTGTATGCACTGTAATTGAATTATTTTGCTTACAAATTCTGAAAACAAATTTCATAGACTACTACACTGTTCTTTTTGAGGCTGCAATTAAAGATTGAAATAAGATTGTTTGTCTTGAGTTCTTGTTAATTTTATTTTGTAGTGTCTGCAAAAGACACCAAAATGCCGATTACTTCTTATCTGGAGACAGTGAAGACCAACTTTGAAGCAACACTGTGGCAAAGAGTCACTTATCTCCTGCAAAGTCAGTTGTTATTAGTTCTTTATATGTACTTTAATATTAAAATGCAAGACTGCCATGAATTCAGTTGTCTATATGAGATACTTTCTGTTTGAAAACTATAACAGCTATTTTGTATTACTCATGTAATGTCAGGGTCCATTATTTCAGGGTATCTAAAGCCTTCAATAGCTACAAGTTCTTTTTTTCTTTGTCATGGGGTTTGCCACTGAGAAAAGCGACTGCTTCCATAAGCTTCCACAGACTAAGTATTATGCTGAATTAACTAAAGCTATTCAATACTCAGATGCGGTTTTCTCCAGGCTTTATTTAAGGTTTTGTTGCATAATTTTACCTTAAGGTTTTATAAAGCAAGAGCCTAAAAAAATCTTGGTTTTCCATCTCCAAAGTCCCTGATAATTGCTCAAAATAAAGTTCAACACTTAAAGTTAAACTAATGTTTATTTCAGAACTTCTCAAGAAAATACACCTGCAGTCAAAACAAATGCTCTTCATTTCTATTAAAAAAGGAAACAAGTCATATCAAGACATTACTCCCCACATCCCCTTTTATAAAAAAAGGAATCAAGGACCGCCCTTGGCAAGGCAGGTATTCCCATGTAAGACTACAAGCCGAGGTTAATAAATCAGATTAGCTGGCAGACAGATCAATCACATTTGATGTACATTACGCAAGAATCCAGAATTAAGTGAAGTAGAAGGTAAGGCCATTTTTTAAATAAAAACCTCGAGTGCACTGAAAGAAAAGCAATAGAAAAATGAAGTGTGATTGGTCTTTTTTGTGATAAATAGTGGCACCATTTGTGAATAAAATATTTCTGAAGCCAATGACAAGTTCATTTGCAAAAAGTAAACAAAGTCAGGTTGGCTGAGACAGATGCCAGAGAACTATTAGAGGAAATATGATTTTGATTGTCAGACTTACTACAACTTTTTTAAAAACACACACTTTAAAAAAAAAAATAAAAAACTACAAGTTCTGATCAGAAACCTTTGACAACAAGAAAATTCTTACCGCTTTCTATAAGCATCATCAAGAAACTGTATTGAAGAGTTAGTCATTGGAGTCTTTGCTTGTCGAATTAACCAGTGCTTGTTCTAAAAGGAAAAAATAAAAAAGATTAGTGTAGGAGAGAAGTATCAGGTTTTAAATCTTTCTTAGACCAATTAAAATAGAAATTATTCCTGTGAAACAGCCAGGCAATGCTATCAAACTGACCTGACTCAGATTTTACATGAACCAACAGGGAAGATCAAAGTTTCAAGAGCAGAATGTATTACAGTATGCTCAGCCCTTGATGAGAAGAAAATAGCTGTGGATCTTTTCAAAGCAGTTCAGGGAAGAAAATTGTGAAAGGATTTAGGAAGGCTCTCCTAGAGGTAAAAGTGTGATAGCCGGAGACAGGTCTGATGAAAACAATCTGAAGTATTGAGCATTGTTGTAAGACTGGACTTGGTTGTCAGAGTGATGAGCCTTTGGGACTAAGATTAGCGAGCATCCTAATGAGTAGAGAGGTGGGAAGAAACTCCTGCATCAAAAGCAGTTGGAACTATTTAAGTCATAGACAGGTGAGGACAAATATCTGTAACAGTGCCACTATCAGATTCTTGGCAACCTATGAACTCGGGGCTGGATACCAGGGAGAGGAGCAGAACATTACCATTTTATTTGGATTTTGACTTCAAAACAGGAGCGTTTATTTAGCTGCAGCATCATCAATTCTTCTAGCTGCATCCCCAACTTTCAGAAACAGCCTCTCCCTTCTTCCCCTCATCCACGCCCCCCAAAGTAATGAAGACTATGTAATTCATATAAAACATGATACTCCCACATTGAAGCACCAGTCTGAACCGGGTCAGCTGCTGTACAAATACATGGGAAGGTCTGTTGTGAACAACCTGAAGGTTAATATTAGTGGGAATCAAAATAAAGAAGAAAGCCATGTCAATGCAGCTTTACACTTTTCATTTAGTAGGTCAGAGATGACCCACGCATCATCCTCAGCTTGAGCCTGTATTTAGCTGGTCCCTCCTCTCCGTAGAGCCTCTTGTTATGCAATTTCCCTCCTGTCACAAGCAAATGACTCTGAATGAGCTCAGGCTTTAGGGACTCACAACAAAGTGACTCATGTCCTGCAACTATTCAGTTCCCCTGTTTTTTGTTCTTGACAATCAAAGGAAAGATTTTTGGCATGAAGACTTAATACCATGTCCACTTTATTTTAATTCAGTTGTATTCAGATTCTCTTTTACAGTAGTTGTAAAACAATTTTCTGGTGAGACGCCATGTCACCATCTCAACAAGAAACACAGCATAATCAACACCAAACATCTGGGACTTGTGTGTTGGCTGAGAGGGGAAAAAGGGAATACATCACAAATCTTATCTCCAGCTCAGCAGAAGTTCTTTCGAGAACAGAGGAGCTGGCAACATCACCTGTGCACCAGCCACTTTTCACAAGGGGTGTGCTTAGGATAGGTGCTTCATAAGGCTGGACGACTCAGGCAAGGAAGTCACCAACTGCAGTAGAATCCTCCTCTTTCACTTGAGTATTTTGTTTTTCCTATCTTTCTCTGAAATTTCAAAAACTTCACACAGAACCTAAACACCTTTGTGGATTTCAATAAACTTCACACTGACCCAGAGTCCTCAAATCTGCTTCCCTGTCAAGTGTCTCACCATTTACATACAAAGCTGTCCACCAGTCCTGCTGCCTCCCTATGTTCCATTCTCAGAGAAATTTTAGGAGATCGAGACAGTATACCATATATTGCCAGCAGAATCTGAACACAGCTGTGCTCCGATTTTGCCTGAAAAACAATGCATGCAAGAGAAATACCCAACATGTATCTTAATCAACTTCTCTCTCAGAACAGCTTAGATAAAACACTTATTTGGATATTTAACAGTCCTGCTTGGGAACCCAGACAGGTACCTATCATTCTATACAGTTCATAGCTGAGGATCCAAAGCAGAAATTCAAGTCAGATTCTGAGCAGTGATGTACACAAGAGCTTAACTCCTATTTTTCCTGCAGAGATTCTGCCTAAATGGCTCCTTTTAGTAGCCCTTGCCCATATACTGCATAAGGAAGCGAGGCAATATTAATTTAGGAGTCCAGACTGTACAATGCAAGACTGTCCAGCAAGCATTACAACATCAGTGAGGATCTGAGCCTATGTACATGTTTACTGCTACTGCAGGAATCATGCTTGCCCTAGAAAACAGTGAAGCTCAAAGAAGAGTTAGGCTTCAAGACTACAGCACTGCCAACTGCAGAAATGCACATTGTTAATGACCTTAGCTACTGTGTCTAGGAAGGAGGGTAATGCTACTCTGTTCCTATAAGAAAACTGCTGTTTCCACATATATTAATTACCAAACATTAAGTCTATTGTTTTGCTTTGTGTGATACAGGCACATGCAGAACTTTTGCACCACATAAGGGAGCTCCACACTGTATACTAGCTGCTGCCTTCACTGACCAAGTTATTTCTAAGTCACTATTTTAAAAGCACTCAATTATTACAGTAGCAGAATCTAAGCCAAAGTTCAGGAACCTTTTACGAAGGAAAAGATCCCAGTCTGATTCTTACTCTCTAGTTTGAAACTTAAAAGGTAGGGCTGAAGTATTTATTAGTGCCTGCAGCCCTTTTCTCCCCTTTCATTCATGGTTTTGTATCATACTGATAAGTACATGGTCATTTTGCAAGCTACAATCCACAGCAAAAACCAAGTTTCCTTCTGTATCACATGAGTCACAGTGACCTTAGAAGTACGACTGGGCTCCTGATAGGCATTTAAACAATGTTATCTCTCGCTCTGGAGATTAGAAGCAAATCTTGAAGTGACATAATTGAACATTGAACAGTAGTGGGTTCTATATTTTAAACTACTTGAATCAAAAATACAAAACTTCTGTAAACTAGGTATCTCACCAGATGAACTGTGAATTTCACTTATTGGCAGAGTAAGTTGCAGCAGATTAGTGTGAGCTAGACCACAGCTGGCCAAGTTTGCTGGCAGAGGAAGATACTGCCCTGTCCCAAGGATGTCTGAGTTTGTAACATTAGGCTCAGTAATTCTGTTTGCAGGTTATTTCAACAAATCGAAGTTCTCAAAGTCCTTAGTGACCCTGGGGCCTGTGGTTCATGATTTCACTAAGTCCTCTGGTTAGTCTGACATGCTTGTCACCTCAGGGCAGCTTTGCCATGAGCTCAAGGAATGGACCACCCATCCACACCAGCAGATGTGCGTAAGGAATTCAAGGCTCTCAACATTCTTCACCCGAACCTTTGAGTAGCATACTACCTATGTGTTCTCCTGAACTCCTGAGAATAAGAATTTTTTAAGAGCTTCACAAGAGTCTGGAAATTGGACAAAGAATTCATTTTTTTCCATTTATCAGTCGTAATTCCATTGTACTACCATATAATTTTGTCACTACATTTTTTATTTACAAGATATTGGTATGCAAATATCTTAAAAATCACAATAAATGTATATGACCCTGACAGACTCATCAGAATCATTAAAAACCAGTAGTCATGGTATTGGCCTATTCTCACTGTTTAAACCATCAAGTTAGGGCACTGCTTACTGCTCTCACAAACTAGAACAACCTATAGAGATTCTTGCTAGTTAGCTTACCTTGCCATGAATATTAAAACAGTTAGCTTACCTTTCCATGAATATTAAAATTGCTGTTTCTTGGTGCACTGACATTCTGAAAGCTCTTCGTATACTGTGGAGCAGGTGTCCAAGGGGAGTGTGGTGCTGGGGTTGAGATCATCATAAAGAAAGGTTCGAAATTAGATTTGTACTCTAAGAAGTCCAATGACATGTTGGCCTGCAAACAGTGTTGTTGGAGGAGAGAAGTCATGCCTCAAAGGAAAGCAGTAAGTATTTGAAAAATCCAAACTAAACATTCGTAACTCATTTAGAGCTTGGTAATACTAGGAACTTTTAAACTATTTCAAAAACTTCCTGTCTGCTCATCTACAAATGTCTAGAACAGCAGCTCATGATAAAAACAATCCCAAGTGCTCATGTTAAACAAATAATTTCTCCCACACCTCTGAACAACTTTCTGCTTCAGAACTTTGCATTATTTAAACCTGGAAAGCTCATCAGAAGTTTGTGCCTATTCCAAATACCAACAGAATTCACCTAAACAGGTTTTATCAAGTAACATCAGAGTTTTCTTTAATACAATCAGAATCCTTCTGAGGCTTTCAGATGCCGCTTGCTGTTTGACAGGTCCCAGTTCAGCAGCTTCAATTGTCTTCAGAAATAGCAATAGTTCTGGGAAATAAAAATGTCAGCCCCACTGTTTATAGCATATGCTCATTCTACAGCAAGCTCCTAGATCACAAGGGGTGAAGACAGCAGGTCTGGTGAAGAACAGTGCCAAACTCCACTAGCTGTTGCCACTTCACTGCACTTTCAGTTTCATTTCAGCCTATACACAACTTCAAGTAGCAAGTTAGAAGAGATTGTGAGTTCCATTTTGGCCTTCCCTTGGTCAGCCTTTAAAATTAAAGCTTCAAACATATTACTCATAGATGAGTTCTTCAGTATTCAAATCTTACAGCATTTTTCTTTCCTGTCTGATTAGTATACCCCATTTTGGATATCCTTTTTCTTTCTCTAGAAAAAAAACAATACACTAGGAATTCTCCCTCTTCCTTCCTACTAACTTGTACATCTAAGCAAGTAGGACTTGACTTCAGTGATATGACAACAGAGTTAAGGAAGGATAAGAACCATTCAGAAACCAGTATGATGTAGGTAAACTCATAGAGGTAGCCAACTTTGATTTCATTAGGAGCTTAAACTGCAACATGCGAGGACTGCAGTAGAAAGATTCAGGTGCCCTTAGTCAGAACCAGAAAGCTTGTACATCACATCAAGCGACACAGGAACTCTGCACAAGCAATTTATTCCTGTGCACTGTCCAGCAAGTGAATTAAACTTGAACACAGCTCTGAAATGCTGAATACATGTTTGGTAACTACAGGCAGAAAGCAGAATGCAATACACTGAAAATCATAATACACTGCTGTGTCAATACGTAACATACCACAAGTAAGCAGTTTATGCAACAATGACCTGTTGGACAAAATGCTTACAAGCTGCTGAAGGATCAAAAAAACCCAGTACAATGCCAGTAATAGGATAGTCTCACTTCTGGCCTATCAATTCCAATCTAGCTTTAGAGCATGTAAATCTAAATTTAATCAGACAGCTGTTCAGTACCCTAGGAAACATCAATCAGTGCTGTTGCTAGTAAGCAGCTGCCTGTTCTAGCACCCACTGGAATGAAACTCCTCATGGTCTCCATGAAAGACTACAACACTGCATGAAGAGACATCTCAGAGAAGAACTTTTGCAAGTGCTGTATGTGAGCTCCCAGCAGTACCAACCCATACACTGTAACAGCAAGTCAGATTATGACTCCAGCTTGGCAGGAAGGGGCAACATCCTCCCTTTCCCCCCCAGCTACTACTACTTGCCAAATAGGGCCTTAAGAGAGCTAAAGTAACTCTTCCAACTTTCCTTTAAGTCTTTGAAACCTTTGTTACTTCTCTATTTTAGGAGGGTAAAGAGGCGACAAACTCCCTTGGTCAGCTACACATTGCCCTCTCATACTATGAAAGGCTGATTAGTCTCTAATAATTCCAAGTTATCAGCCTGATGTAGCTGAAGATTACAATACACTAACACATCATAATACCTAAGAAACAAAACATGCTGTAAAGCTATTCTTACATGCTTAACTTCCTACTGAAATCTTGGCCCAGTTAATCTGTTACAGAAGTTGCATATATATAATGAAACATATCCTTTTATAAAGTAATTTAAATCACTGCCTATGTGTTCCTCATGCACCCCAGCAGTAAGTATTAACCTCTCAGTTAGGCTACTGGCTGGCAAATGGGCAGCTGGAATCCCTTTCCTCTCCAGAGCTCAAACACAAACCTGTCATGTCTAAATATACTCAGAATCTTGCTCTGCTAATTAATGCCCACCCATCATCACAACAGCATAATTGTGCGTGTATGAAGTAATACAGCCTAACAAGTTATCATCCCACCCTTCCCCAAGCCCTCAGCATGAGGCATTATATGGTCATAAGCAGCTTCTGTACCAAATGTTGCAAAATTTCTTACCAGGACATCTGTCAGATAATCTACACTGTAGTTCTCGCCATGCCTTCGTGCTTTGCCATTTACTGAAAGAGTATAGTTGTAGTACTTTGAATTTTTCTCCTGTGGAAAAGAAAAGTTATATGGATCTTTATACAAAACAACATGTACATTGATTACTTGAAATGAGCTGCCCACAAGCATTTGTCAAACAGGTTATGAGCATTTGCCATAAGGATACTGCAAGAATTCTCAGAAGTTTCCAACCACAAAACTTATTTTGGTGCTATCTCACACTGCTTTGGCTTTACAAACCAGAGTTTTTAACCAGGCACTCAGTAGCAGTAGCCTTTGTGAAAGCCAAGGATCTGATGCGCAACCAAAGAAAAAAGGGAAGAAAATTTGCATTGTTAGATGCTCTTTGCCTGCTCTTTCATGATCAGCAAAGTTAGAATTCAACTAGGATTACAAAACCAAATTGGATTACAAGCAAAATTAAGTATTTAAAAACAAAAAAAAAGTCACATACCAAAGCATACCAAAAACTCCATCCAGGCGGGACATGACCTACTCCCCCTGCATCCTCTGCTCCGTACTGCAAAAAGACAGCATGACTCACAGTTTCAATTAGGATGAATAAAAGCTAGAAATTATGTTTCATATTCATGCACTTTATTCAACACTAGTCAGAAACCATGTTAAGACAAATTCAATTTCAGAATGGGGAAAAACAAATATATACACATATAAAAACACATGTAGAGCCAGTTAAAGAAACCAGGGTTCAATTACTAGAAAGACAGTAACTGAAAGCTTGGTAATCACAATAACATTTAAGTGTTATTCTCTGCTCTATTTTCTTGTGAAAATATGCAGAAATCCTGGAGAACATATGGTACGTCATCAGGTAATGAGAAGTGATCAAAACATCTACATGACAATCTTAGGTTTTGTGACAACAGTTCATAAGATACTAAAGAAAATTTCACGTAGACCAACAGCTTCCTTCATTCTCCACAAATGGGGGTAGGAACTTGAAGCAATGCTAGCCTCTTATCACCTCAGTGCCAAATAATCTACAACAAGCAGCCTTTAAGACAGCAAAAAAAGGGAAAGTAGCTGCTGAGTCAGTGCCAAACTCAAAACAGAGGGTGCCTCAAAGCAACACAACGGGTTTTCTCAGGGCTGCCCTCTCCCATCTTCATGGCTTGCCTAACTGCGAGGATGGGAGACTGCTGAGTCAAGGGATGCTCAGAGGAAAACAGTTAAGTTTCCCTTCCTCTTGCTGCCTCAGGAACATCAGCAGAAACAAATTCGTGCATTGCAATGAAAATTCAAGTTCCATTATTCTATTATACCACCAGCATTTTCCACCAAGAGATGCAAGGAAAATAATGCTGTTAAGAACCCTGTAACTCATCTAGCTTCAAATCCAATTCCATCACACAAGAGCTCTAATTTTAGAGCTTTCAGTGCTGAATTTTACATCTTACCATAAACTACTAGAAACCATAGGCTTCTATGGAAAAAAACAAAAGCACACATATAAAAGTGATTTAATGATAAAGTGTTGGGTAACTGCTGTAAAGAGCTCTGAAAATATCTGTTCTCCCAATTAATTTACCTCAGTGGACACTTAATTTTTAAAATATCATATTGACTGCTAAAAAGAAAACAGTCCTCTGATGGAAGAGGATATGTCAGTCAGGAATACTGATACAAATCAATTTTTTTAATGTTATCCTAACATCATGCATGGTCTAGCATTGGTTTGATGGGTTCTTCAGTACTACAGGCCAATCATCTATCCATTTCCTCCAGTCATTAAAATCATCATCTCTAAAAATTTACACATTTGAACGTACTAAAAAAAAGCTTTTGGATTCCATCATTCTTTCAAAATCAACTTTAAAAACATCCTGATACCTACAGAACCTGAATTTAACCAAATTAGAGATCCGAACTTTACATCGTATTTATCCCATCTGGGCAAAGGGAAGCATTCATCCAAGTTACATCATATTATACATTTTGGGGACCCACCAAATAGAAAAATCACGGAATGTTTTAGAAAGATATACGAACGCAAATAAACTGTAACATTAAAAAAAAAAAGGCACAAAATACCTCATTTAAATACTTCCCAGCAAAGAAAGTTTGATAACCACACATAGATTTGAGCAGCGCTGGGAAGGTGTATGGTTCTTGAATCTTCTGCCATAACTTGCTGCTACAGTTCCCTTCCAGAGTGTTATTAACGACATGATGATTATGTGGATATTTTCCTGTTAAAATGCTAGCTCGACTGGGACAGCAAAGTGCACTGGGAACATACTGGAGAAACAGAATGAAGACAGATAAGACTGGCACAGTAAAACAATTTTATCTCAAAATTTATAGTTTTTAAATAGCTAACAGGTTGATTAAAATGTTCATCAACATTAAAACCTACTTCTTTCTGGACAGACAGAATTACGTTCCACGTACGTTCGCTAATGCAAAGCTACACATGAAACCAGTTTCAGGTCTCTGCAGCACATGCTCTTCAGCCCCTCAATGCAAGATTAGATGTGGTTCTTACACAGGAGCAATTGCCCATTGACTTACTCCAGTATTTTAGCCATGGAGATATACTAGAATATGAAGAGTGAAACGGATTTTCATCACACATGAAGTTGATGACAGTTTCAAGTACCTACTTTTAATGCTTCTTAGTTTGTAATAAAAATATTCAGACTACATAGCTTTACTTTACAGTTAAAGGAAGTTAGCACAAGTGTTTTCAGGAAGTGAAACTTTCCTTCACAGATTTTAACATGACCTTAAGTTATATTCATTCGGAGACCTAAAAGTAGTTAGAGATTGAATTTAAAAACCCCTACAACCACAGGTACAGGCTTCATAAAACTATTACCAGCTTTGAGACCTCAGATGACCTGAGATACAGAGTACACAAATGCATGCAACCTCAGAAGCTCAGAGAGTTAATGTGAACACTTACTGCATTTAGGAAGGTTATTCCCATCTGTGCAATGAGAGCATTAGTCTTCTTTAGGGGGGTCTGGAAGACAAATACCCAAAGGGTGTCAACTAAAAAGGCAAGGATGCCAGGTAAAGCAGGGGATTTGAAGCAGACTATGTGAAAGAAGTCCCACTATCAGAGTTTTCAGGAACCACGCAGGCAAGACACTAAGTGTCCTTTCCTTCTTGCCGGGGCCTGGAGCGGCCACAGCGGTTGCGCAAGGTGCGCCCAAGGGAGCAGAGGTGCGTGGAGTTTCCAGGGGTACTCGCAGCGGCTGCACTGGAGACGGCCCAGCCCCGGCCCGATCGAGCTCCAATGGCTCTGCAGAGCAGCTCATCCCACCCGCGGAAGCCCCACCGTGTCGCTCCTTCAGCGGTGCAGTTCGGCCCGAGGCCGCGGGAGCCCCTGCCCGGGGTCGGGCCGGGCCCAGCCCACCGCCCCTCGCGGTCAGAGCGACCCCGGCCCCACGCCCTCCCCTGCCCAGCGCCCGAGCCCGGAACGCCGGCCGACAGCCCCGTATGCGCCCTGGCGGCGAGTCCCCCTCTTTCTCGCCGCGCTGCCGCCAGCCCCGCGCCCGCCGCAGCGGGGTTACCATGCCGCCCAGGCAGACATCCTGGTCGTCGGTGAGGATGAGCACCACGTTGGGCCTCCGCGCCTGCTGGGCTGCCCGCGCCGGGCTCAGCACCAGCAGTGCGGCCAGCGCCAGCCCCCGGAGCAGCGCGGCGGGGGCCATAGCGCGGCGGGACGGGCGGGCGGAGGGACGGGACAAGAGGGTCGGTGCCGCTCGGCGCCACCGGACCCGGAGCAGCAGCGCGCGGGCCCGCCCCGCCCGCGGCATATGACCCAGGAGCGCGAGGGGGGGCGGTGTCACGTGGCCCGGGGACAGCCCCGGCCCCGCCCCGTCGGGCCCGGCCCCGCCCTGGGCTGCGCGCGGGGGGCCTTTTCCAGCTGGGACGTTCGCGCTCCCCTGTAGGGATGTGTGTAAATGTCTGTAGAGCGCGTGCCAGGGGGATGGAGCCAGGCTTTTCTCGGTGGTGCCAGGCAATAGGACAAGCGGCAACGGGCAGAAAGTGATGCACAGGAAGTGCCACCTGAGTACGAGGAAGAACTTCTTTACTGTGCGCGCACTGGAACAGGTTGCCCAGAGAGGTTGTGGAGTCTCCCTCACTGGAGATACTCCAAAACCGCCTAGACGCATTCCCATGCCATGTGCCCTGTTTGAGCGGGAAAGTTGGACCATTTGATCGACTGTGGTCCCTTCCAACCTGACCCATTCTGTGATTCTGTGAATTTCTGACCTGAATTACCGCGGCTGCTCCGCCGGTAGCGCCATCGGTGCCCAGCGAGCCCAGGCGGAGCCGTGAGGATCCCGCCATGCGCTTTGGCCGCGGGCTGTGCTACAGGGACCGGCCGCAGCCCAGGTACTGAATTGCCGCAGAACCAGGCCGCCGCTCCAGCTGGGAGCAGGAGCAGGACGGCGGGCAGGACGATGGTGCCCGGGTACCGCGCCCAGTGTCACCGCCCCGAGGCGGAGCGAGGTCACTTGGCCCCCCACCCCTCCGCAGGTGCAGCGTCTCCCTCTCCCCCCGGTGTGTGCCCGCGGTGCGTGGGAAGGGAGGGGAGCCGGGCGCGGCGCTCCTGCGGGCAGGGGAGCGTCCCGCCCGCCTGGGCTTTCCTGTCCGCCCCCCCCTTCCCCTTCCCCTGCCCGCCCCACTCCCGCGTGTCGCTGTGGAACGGGCCGGGCCCGGAACCCGGCGGCGGCGCGGAAGATGGATGCAGGGGAGGCCGGCGCGGGTGGCAGGGCGGGGAGCAGCGCCGACAGCCTGGCCGAGGAGGAGGACGACGACGAGGGGGGTCCCGGCAGCGGGCGGTCCAGCCGCACCTCGTCGCTGGTGAGCGGGCTGCTCACCGAGCTGTACAGCGCCGCCGAGGCGGCTGCCCCCTCGAGCAGCGCCCGCTCCCGCGCCCTCCATGAGCTGCACCAGCGGCCGAGCCAGGTCAAGTACCTGCGGCTGAAAGGTACAGCTCGCCCCGCCTGCCCTGCCCTGCGCTGCCGGGGCTGGGAGCTGCCCCTGCCGCCTCGCTTTCCCTCTGTGGCTGCTCGGAAGTCCTGACCAAGGGTGCTCTCCGCTCGCTATAGCAGTCTTTCTGCATGGCCATGGCTCCCAGAAGCTTCCCGTGTGCTGTTAGCTGAGAGCTCCTTCAGACCAGGGCCTCCTGTGCTGTTCCTTCCTCCTTTGTTCCAGGTGCTGTAGGAGCAAAAATGGGGTCACCTGCTATTAATTTCTGTGACAGATTGCACAAGCTTTTGTGTTTTCTGCGAGTTCAGTGCTTTTCCTCACAGTAATAAATCAGTGACCAGTTTTCATTTCTTTCCCTTTTCCTTAGTCTGGAAGACATGCTAGGCATACGGTGTCGTAAGAGGTAATTGTTTTTTCAGGTCCTTTTAGTTCTAGTGAACCTAAACTAAACCAGACAGTTGTAAGGCTTATTTGCAGGTTGGCATGTCTTCCAGAAAAGAAATAAGTGTAATAAAAAGTGTAAATGCTATAGTCAATTGACCAAAATCTAAATGAAATTTTCAAAGAATTCTCCTGAAAGCTAAGGAACCTCAACAGGGCGTGTTTTTGAAGGAATAAGACTTGCAACTCCAAGTTGATCAGATGAAGAGAGCAGCACAAAGGCCTCTTGTCTCCTGATGTTTAATCATTCCTGCTTTTGATGAGGAGGAAAAAAAAGAAGAGGTGAATAAGCGTGCCTGTTTTTCAGACCTGTGCAAACAGCTGTCTGCTTCCGTGTTTGGCTTCTTAATGAGATGAGACACCATCTGATGTTACTAGGATGTAGCTCACGTTCTTCTGTGTGTCCTATAGCAACTTGGGACTCAAAAAACCCTTGCTTGTTGAGGAATATATTTTGTAGTATTTCAACTCATTACTTTTGCTGCAAAGTTAATTGTTTTTACAGGGACAGCTAACTGGCATGAGTGAGAAAGAAGAAAGCTCACTGCTTGTGTGGTGACTGTAGAAGTCAATAGGAGCGCAAATTAATTTTTTTGCTCTCAAAATCCATGGATTTATTTTTAAATCCCCTTGCCTGGTACAAGTGATTTGGACTTGCAGCTGAGCAGCAAGTGCTGAAACAGGGTAGTGTCTATAAAATACAGGACTGGTTTACCACTGATTCCACTCCCCTTGCAGTCATACTTTGCTCTTCACTAGCCCATGATTGATGGTCATTTCAGCCTAATTTGTCCTTTTCTTTAAGCTCTCCAGAATTACTGAAAAAGTTTTGCAACATGAGCTGAGCTGTTTACCATCCCACTAATAGTAGCTTTTTCTGGGTGCATAAATATTTTTCTCATTAGATCAGGTTACCAAAGTATGGATTTCTTGCACTGATTTTCCTTCTAGCATCAGGGGGACATGGTTGCATTGAAAGTGATAGGATTTGAAAACTTAGCTGCAGGGAGCAGACCTCTGTGTAGATGCTCGTGACAAGCTGTGCCAGGCTATTATAGGGGAGAGCTGAAGAGGTCAGCGTGTGATAGGCAGGATCCAGGATTTCACTGGTAGGGTGAGCCTTGGAGAACAGAGCAGAGGACACAGAAAAATAAATGGACTTAAGATATCTCCCCAACAGCTCCCTCTTCTGGACGTGAAGCATGTCACATAGGGGGCAACAGGAATATTAGAAGTAAGCTGAGACATTTTGGTGAACTAAAAGGCGTCTGGTGACACTGTGACTGACCAGTGGAAATAGCTGAGGCCTTGACTGAAGCTGTCCAGTTGTGTCTTAGTGGAGATTCCCACTTAGCACTCATTCTGGACTTGAATTTGTAGCTTTGCAGGCAGCTTCTTGAATGTGTTCCTTTGTTACAAATGCACATCTTCCCCATGCACAGGCAGCTTTTTGAAGATACTGTATTTAAAATTTATCCCCGGTTGCACTATTGTCAGATATTCTGGCTACATCTGTCACAATTCTATGAATTTATAATAGCATAATTATTAAGATTCATACGCTGTGCAATAAATGGAGGTACTTTAGTTTAAAAGAAAATTAAAGACTTTGGCTCAGATCCTGAAAATATTTATAATTGGGAATTACCCCAGTCAGTAGAACTTGTAATTTATAGAAAGCTTGTACATAAATGTCCGTGGGGCAAGTCTCTTTGTACGTCAGCTACAATGAGCTGTTTGTAAGTGTTTTGGCCTGTACTGAAGTTGTTTTCTCTGTTTGTTGGCAGATGTTGATGAATTAACAACTATAAAACAAGAACTGAATTACAGAATTTCTATTCAATCAGCAAAGTTGCTTCGTCTTCTGAAGCAGAAAGACAGGCTTGTACAAAAAGTCCAGAAGAACTGCGACATTGTTACAGCTTGTTTGCAGGCGGTTTCCCAGAAACGGTGTAAGTACTTTCTGTGTGCTAGTGTAAGTAGTTTATTTCATTAACATGGTCAGTATTTCATTCAAGCCTTCGCACTTCATTTAAAGTCAAAAGGCCAGGCTATGCTATTTCTTAGATATGACTGGCTCTTAGTGATGTCAGTGGCACCTGGAAACAGTCAAAGTTCAACTACCTCGGCTGGGTAAGCTGCCATAGCTGTGTGTAATGCTGTGGCACGCTCACTGTAGGTTGTCTGCCAGGCTTTTTCGGCTTTAATTAAACAGACAACCTGAGTTGAATTTTTTTGGTGTGCTTGCTGTGTGGAGCTGTCTGCTTTCATGGTGTTATAAGGGAGATGCTAGAAATAGAAATTCTTCTCAGTGGCAGCTATAGACAGTATATGGAATTGTCTTCCCACAGCATTGTTAATAGCGTGTAACTCATTTCTGTCAAATTGATTAAAGATGAGGAGTATTAATAAAAACAAACCTACTTCCCTCAAACCCCTTTATCAGTGTTTTGGGAGGTTCTGCGAGAGTGCATGGGAAAGAGGAGAGACTTTACTCTTTAATTGTTTAGCCTTTTTTTCCAGAACAGTGAAACCTTTTTATTTGACTTGGCAAAGTTGTCATCTTCAGATAGGCTGAAGTGCTTTCGATAGTTCTGCTAAAGTAAAACTGCATGTAATGTCATGTGTAAAAATAAATAGGAATTATGCCTTTAGAAAGGACATGTGAAAATAACCTAATATTCCCTGTCTTATTTTTTCATTAACATGCAGCGTGACAGGTACAGAAATGTTCAGGTACAGTAAATAAAGCATGGTCTTTTCGTAAAAATGTCTGCAGAAGCTTTGAGATGCATGTAAAAATTTTTTAAAAGAATTTTACTGTAGTGGCATGTGCTAATGTAGTTTAGTTAAGGGTTTGTCTATTAATGTGAAACTTCACTTTTAAGCA